TTGCATGAAAAATTTCAGGTTTTCATGGGTGATGTTTTTAAGTGAAAACTTCAGGTTTTCAAACATGGCATGTTTGTAAGAAACTTTAGGTTTTAAAATAATTATGAACTTCATGTTCATATATTCCTGCAGGTAAACACAAATATACACAAAAATATATGCAACAAGAATATGCACAATATAATTTGTAGGTCTAAAATATAATTGAATATAATTATTTGGACTTCGGGCCAAATTAAAGTGTGCGTGAAAAAATATAAAACCCATTGGGCCTAAAAATAATTAGGCGAATAAAACTTGGGGCCCAAAAGAAAAACTAAGCCTACGGGTGGCTTAAGAGAATTGGTCGGTGCTTCTTAGGCCCCAAAATTAGGTAAGGGGTCTCAGGTGTAGGCTGCAGGCCTATGGGGAGAGATAAGAGCAGGGGAATGGGCTGTTGCAGGCAGATCTAAAACAAAAAACAAAAAACATTCATTCGGGCCGCTTCAGGTGAGCCCAAACAAATTTTTTCTTTCTTTCATGGGCTGGGCCCAACAGAAAAAGGATGGGTTATTGGATCTGGGCCGAGACAACACACATCAGCAGCAAGCCCAATAGGCGCTGATGTGGGCCAAGGGGTTGAGACCCAATTGGGCTCGGGTCAAGAAGGTTCGAGACACCCCAGCGATGCTGGGTGTCAGAACGCTGTTGGGAAGACGCCGGCGTCGCTTCAGGCAACTGTCCTCGGGGGTTTATGGCACGACAATGCACAAGGGTTCAACTGGGAACTCGTATCTTGGATGTAAACCTAGGTTTCGAAGTCGGGGAGGTCCGAGAGCGATTAAGATTCAAGGAATCCGTTGAAGAGCTTCTTCGATGTTCATCGGATTTCTGAGAAAAAAACCCAAACAAATTTTTTCTTTCTTTCATGGGCTGGGCCCAACAGAAAAAGGATGGGTTGTTGGATCTGGGCCGAGACAACACACATCAGCAGCAAGCCCAATAGGCGCTGATGTGGGCCAAGGGGTTGAGACCCAATTGGGCTCGGGTCAAGAAGGTTCGAGACACCCCAGCGATGCTGGGTGTTAGAACGCTGTTGGGAAGACGCCGGCGTCGCTTCAGGCAACTGTCCTCGAGGGTTTATGGCACGACAATGCACAATGGTTCAACTGGGAACTCGTATCTTGGATGTAAACCTAGGTTTCGAAGTCGAGGAGGTCCGAGAGCGATTAAGATTCGAGGAATCCGTCAAAGAGCTTCTTCGATGTTCATCGGATTTCTGAGAAAAAAACCCATCGTTTCCGACGATGGCGAGGTCCTAATCACAACTACAGGTGTGATTTCTCAGGAACAACGGCGGTGAAGCCGTGGCCGACTGCCGGCGGTGAAGCCGTGGCCGACTGCGGGCGGCGACGTAGGTTAGGGTTTGATGCCAAAAACATCTTCTCAGATGGAGCAAGGGTTTTGCTCTGGTGCATTGCAACCTATGTGGGCTCGTGCGAGCCCAGTGTTGTAAGGGTCACGGGTTCGAAAAACCCAAGGTTTCTCGGATTTTTTTTTTCAATTCAATACAATTCATATATAATTCAATTCGATGCATATGAAATTCAATAATTTGATGCAATTCATAACCAATATCAAATTCACATAATTCAACAATTATGATTATGAGGCATACACAATTTATGTAAAATCTAAAATTCGTAAAACGTAAAGTTGGGTCATGCATCATGGTGAATGTTCATGCTATAAAGGCTATAAAAATATCGAGATAAAAATCATTGTTTTGAAAGAACTTGATTGCATGATGATATGGATGAACTGATTTGATGTAGAAAAATTCTTCAACGTCAGATTCCTAAGCGCAACGGTAGGAGTGTGCTGATAACGTGTTTTGGTCTATTTTATCTGACAAGGTTAAAGAGGGCTGGCAACAAGGAGAAGAGAGAGAGTGTGTGATGTGTTTGTAGAATTGTAGGGAATGTGTGTTGTTATCCTAACTACATTGTGCCTTTATTTATAGTAGTAAAGGGAAAGAAGATATTCCTTCATCCGCAAGAAGTACAAGATACAATAGGAAATGATAACTAGAATCTAATCTAATCTAGGATTTAGACAATCACACTTAAACTAAGAATGTTTACAACAAACGTGATATAATAATTGTCAAAGACAATAATTTAGGAGCAAAAATTTGTAATTTCCTAAAATATGGGGGGTTATAATTGCCATTTGAAATTTCATTAAATGGGCATTGATTACTATGCTTTGAAAAAAAAAAACACTTTTTGTAGAAACATGATAGACTCTGCTTCTGCTTTTCTATGCTTTCCTACTATCATTAACAATAGTTTTAACATTTTTTTTTTTGTTATACCAAATACATTTGATGTTCCAAATTTTATAATAAGCAACTTTTTATTTTTATTTTTATTTTTAAAAGCATCACAATCTCAAACCAGCATGTATGTCTATGTTTTATGAAGGAGAGTTTAGCTTGATCGACACTAGTTGAACAATAAAATAATATAAACTAATCAAAGTGGCGTAGCAAAAGCGTGGTAGTCCCTGGATCGAAACCAGGCTCTGATGGATTTATTGCAAAATTTGGGTTGTGGTCTCAACAAGAATGCATCATTGCCTTATTTAGACCAAAGCTGCAATTGTCGTTGGTCAGTCAAGCTCAAAGACAATGACTTGGAAAGTTTATTCACAAAGACGACTTCTTAATATTTTTTATTTTAGGGTTTTTATCACAAATGGTCCTTGAGATTGATCAAACTCATCATTTCGGTCCCTCACTTTCAAAATCAATCAATGCCGTCCCTGACATTCACTACCCCACATCAATTTGGTTCTTTTGTTAAGATTTCGTCAACTATTTAGTTTGTATGTGGGACCCACAAATCCAATGAAATGGTGACATGTGGATTTACACAAAATAAGGGGTTTTATCACAAATGGTCCCTGACATTGATCCAACTCAACATTTTGGTCCCTGAGTTTCAAAAATCGATAATTTGGTCCCTAACTTTCACTATGCACATCAATTTAGTCATTCTGTTATAATTTCATCCATATTTTTTGTTTGTGTGTTGATGTGGTCCCATTAATCCAATCATATGGCTCCATGTGAATTAACTACAAGAAACTATTTTTTTAAGAGTGAACCAACGAACGAGTATTCGGCGCTGGCATTTTTCTCGCATCTCACAACCCCAAATTGAAAAAAAAAATCAATCTAAAATTGATAAAATCAAATCCAAATTCAATTCAAATTTGATAGGATTATAACCGACTAGAGAATGAGGAGTGAGTTCATGAGCCAAGTACTTTAGTAGTGTCATAGTTTCTTCCTTTTCTTTTTTAGCATACCCTAATGAAAACGACGATGACTATTTTTTCTTTTAGTTTTGATTTTTAGTTTCTTATTTTACTTTTAGTTTTAAATCTTAAAAAAAAAAGTTTCTTGTAGTTAATCCACGTGGCACCATATGCTTGGATTAGTGGGACAAAAAATTGACAAAACTTTAATAGAAGAATTAAATTGACGTGTGGTATTGAAAGTTAGGGACCAAAATTATCGATTTTTGAAACTCAAAGACCAAAATGAGGAGTTAGATCAATGTCAAGGATCATTTGCAATAAAAGCCCTTATTTTGTGTAAATCCATGTGTCACCATTTCATTGGATTTGTGAATCCCACATACAAACTAACAAAATAGTTGACGGAATCTTAATGAAATGACCAAATTGATGTGCGGTAGTGAATGTTAGGGACGACATTGATTTTGAAAGTGAGGGACCTAAATGATGAGTTTAATCAGGAACCATTTGTGACAAAAACCCTTTATTTTATAACATTTTTTTCAAAGAGATACGATCCTCGCCGAATCCTCTTTGTGAGGATTCCGGAAATTCTTTAATCCTGTCTTTTTATCATACATCGTGCGGTTATAATTTATTTTAAATTATATTATTTAAAATTAAATACAAACAGTACCTAACGAAAACTGACTGTACAATATACAATGAACGGACATAATTAAAAGATCTTCGAGATCCTCACAAAGAAAATCCAATCCTATCTCTTTATTCAAGAGCCACCATGTCTGGTCAAAGGGAAAAATCATTTAATCCCTTTTGGTGAAAAGCGTGTTCTAACTTTTTTTTCTTTTGAATTTCAAAATTATTGAAAAACGTGTTCATAACTTTTTTATTTTATTTTGAATTTCAAAATTATAAAAAAAAAAGCGTGTTTCTATTACGGATGACAAAACAATTTCACATTTAGAGAAAATACAATTTTACTAGTTTTGAAAAGACAAAACTCTTATTTGTTTTTGGGTCAACCCTCTGTATCCAATTATTTAAAGCCAAGTTCATACTATTGGATCCCTTAATACTACGGCCTGTAATATTTTTTTTTCATTTATAAGTAAAAAAAATTTATGTTCGAATATGGTGAAAGCTGCGTTTAATACTAATCTATTCTCCATAATTTAGAGTAAATATATCGTTATATAACACCCTAGTTTGGCAACACACATGAAGATTTGTGCTCCTAGTCTTACATCCTTCAAAATGACGAGGACCTCCGTTTGCAGAAAAGTTTGGACATGATCATATGGGCCACAAGGCCTTTACTCTGTTTGGCCCAAACAAAAAAAAGCCCTCACAGTTGTATATCTGCAAGGTGGTGCAGCGGAAGCGTGGCGGGCCCATAAAGCACCTGTCCTCAATTTATCTCATTTCCGTTCATCGTACGTTGTGCGGTCAGTTCCGTTAAGCACTGTTTATATTCAATTTTAAATAAAAAATTCAAAATAATTTCTAATCGCAGGATGAATGACGAACGGATAAAATGAACTGATCTCTAGGATCCTCAAAAAGAGATTCCGGATAGAATCTTGTTCCGAAACTAGCCTCTGATAAAGCTGTGCTTTTCAAGTTTTCATCTCCATTCTTCGTGGTCTATGAGGCTTTGCTTTGTTACAATTTAAACCAACTTAGTCCTCTTCTGCTCAAGAAACTTGACATTATATTCCACCAAAAAACATGATTAACTTTCTCATATTTTTGAGTCTCTGCAATCTATTGCATGCGGTGTACAAATTACAATTTCCACAACTAAATTGAGACGAACCATATACATTTACAGGTTACAGCTACAATGGGGAGAAGCAAAAATATATCTCCGCCTCCGTCGAAACGAAATCGATTAAGAAACATGAACCAAAATTAAAGGTATTGATCATGCTCTTACTGATTTTTTATTGCAAACATTGTCGAATTTTTCGACCCTAAGTGATACTTTAGGTTTATTTCTTCGCCTGCAAGTCATTGGCAGCCTCTTGATTTAACTGGAAGGGACAACAGAGAGCTCCAATCGACCCGTCCATTCCTCGCCGGGCTTCAAGGTGATCGGTTTTTCGATTGATGCTCCATTAACACAAAGCATCTGTTTGTACTCTTCGTCTCCAAGATCCGCCATCGCTTTGGACTTCTCCCACGGATTCCATACAACTAGTACATGTAAAGTTCAAGAACACAAGATTTTAATTTGTCACTAATCCATATGTCTAAGTTTGCTTAGTGACTAATCGAAGTAGAACATGATTCTTACCAACATCTGGAAGTCCCTCCTTTCGCACGGTGAATGTCCTCTTCTTTTCATGATCGAAAACAGCTATCACATCCGAAGACTTAAGGTAAGCACGGTCCACCTGCCGGAAAATGAAAAAACACTTCATAAGCAGGAGAGTTTTGGATCAACTGACAAGTGGAGAAGGTTTTGGGAAAACACGATTACCTCAGATTCGAATGTTAAGGCGTCGCCTTGTTCTGTAAACCGCTCCTTTTGACATAGGTTGTCTAGGTAGTCTAGAGTCTCCAATCCCTCAACCCTCACTTCACTGTCAGTCCAGATTAAATTCATTTAGACCTCGGAACTTCAATTAGTCTTTAATTAGATTTATGATTAATTGAAGATTATGTACCTGATATCCGAAATGGAGAAATACGTATGAAAAGCGAATGAAAAACTGAAAGGCTTGCTGTTGATGTTTCTGATGCGCGATATAAGCGTTAGATGCCCTTCTGCTGCAAGCGACACCCTAAGGCGAAACTCAAAACTGCAAAACATGTTTCAAACCATCATGTCACAAACAAATATTTCAAGTACACAAAGCATTAGCATGCTACTTTTTCGGAATTCATGCTGCTATATGTGCTACCTATGTGGCCAAATCTTTAGATCATCGTCGGATGGTTTGAGCAGCAAGTCGATGTAGGCTTTTCCATTCGAATCATTTGGATGTAGTGGTGGAGGATCATTGTCGATGGCCCAAATTCTGTTCCTGGCAAACCCATTTTGGTCCAATGATCCGGTCCCAACCTGCGGAAAACAGATTGGAATTCCTCCTCGGACTGCTTTTGGCGGCTTAAAAATCGCCTGCATAGACAAAACAGAAAATATATAAGCTAACTCTAGGATCAGTGTACATATTTCCCAATAGTTGATGAATAACAATGAAGAAGTATGAAGAAATTCTTCACCTTGCTACTAGTGAATAACAATTCCTCGCCGCGTTCAGTTTTCCAGGAAAGAACCTGGCCTCCGTGCAAGCTCACCTGGATTGTTTTTGCACGACATCAGAATGCATGTAAACTACAAAATCAGCAATTCTAGGCTTGCTCAAGTATACAAGCCCTACGTCGGAAACCTGACTAATTAAATACAACTTATATTGAATTAGGGTATTTTGTACAAAACCCCACACCTAATGGACTACGCAGGTGATTAAGTTGATACAACGTCGACGCTGCTCGATACTAGAAACAGGAAGGTAAAAGAAATCTAACCCTAACGGAAGCACCGCGAGGGTTGTGAAGATGAACTTGATCGATTCCATTCTTGTCTTTCGAAAATTCAACTGCTGCTCCAGAAGGATTCATTTCAAGAACACAGCAAGCAAGAACATCAATTGAATAAACAAGAACACAGATGACTCTCTCTCTCTCTCTCTCTCTCTCACTCTCTCTCTCTAGAAAACAGCTTCAAATCACCAGGGAACAAAATGGTTTGCCGTTCATTCAATCAAGCAGCTGAAACTCAACTTTCGCATGAACCCTTCTCGTGACAAAACCTATATTTTCTTGTGAACTGAAACCAAATTCCCAACTACCAATTCCCCTCTCTCACTTTTCGAACAGATGCAAATTTTCTGAAAGAAATACAGGATGATTAATTACCCAATGAATGAAACCAAACGGTCTTAAAATTCCTGCACAATGGCCGGTTTCAAACCAAAACAAAAAGTATTTATGATGGGAACAGTTTTGTCTAACAAACAGAAAGAAAAATTGAAAGCTGTGACCTAGAAGAAATGAGGTCAAAACACCTTTATGGGCGGAAATATCAAATATAAATCTAATCTATCTATATGCAACAAAGGATTAGCGTTTGAGCGCTCCTGATAAACAAATATTGAAATGTCAAATAATATACGAGAGATTAAGGTCGTTGGGTATATCTTAGGAGGGTAATGAACAGATTAAGAATAAATTAGTACCACTTGCATGCACAAGTTTCAAATATGTTATTTATGTGTATTTACATCATTACATGTGCGTATAAGACATGGAAATTTTAGCAACCAGCCAACCATGATTAGTCTTTGCTGGTTTCTACACGTGATATAGACAAGTATGAACGTGCCATCCTCTCTAACTGAATTAACTAATCCATTTTCAAAAGAAAGGAAAATCGAGAACAATGTGGAAATTTCAAGTTTCTGACTTTTTCGATGGCTTGATTGTCGAGAAAAATTTGCGTGAGTCTGTTTCATTAATGTGACATTATTAAGCTGTGGAATATTCAGTTAAAAATAAAAGATACGTATATTTGTTGATATTTTCACGTACCGCAGTATGTCGGATTTTAGTATAATACATGATGTACTTATATTTTATTGCCAAAATATATTCAATAAACTCTGCATAATTTGAGGTGAACCATTCACATCGTCTGCCTTAGACATCGGCCAAGGAAAATTGATGATGAAAATATATGATCGAAGCAACTTTTTCTTCAACACGTGAAAATTGGATAAAGAAAGTTATCCTTGGGACGGATGAGTGAGTCTCATCTTCCCAACAAGGCAAATTCAAATAGTTTATTGATGTACAAGTTACAATACAAACAAAAATACGATAGTACTGAATTTCGGATATATTCGAGAGAGATTTTGCCATGGCCCAGATTGCATGCATTCTTGAACGCATATCTTGTAATTTAATATCGATAAATGATAATAATTTGTGTTAATAATACTTATTGGGTGATAATAAATGCATCAAACATTATTTAATTTTGACTCGTATACGAGGAATCACGACAGAAACACACTTAAGAGAAACTTCAATTGGACCCCACAAAGGAGAGGCCTAAAAACAGTAGAAATCCATAGAAAGTTTTTTCTAGAGGAAGCATACCAAACTCTTTTCCAAATGACCCATAATTTCTTTTCCATAATTTTGTCTCACTATTAAGCTTTGAATTGAAAGGCACTAGAGAGAGGAAAGGGGGATTTGGGGTTGGAATTCAATGTCATGGATAAAACTCTAGGTGCGATGTGCCAACACACAAAATTGAGGAGTGGACATCTTATTCTTAGGTGCAATCAAAGGTACTATCAAAATTGCCTTTGAAAATCCTTTTGATGGGATTTTGTGGCCTTCTTTCTTTCAAGTTCCTCTTTTGACTTGCACTTTTCACCAACCAATTATATCCATTTGCACCTTCAACTCAAACACTTAAAATATCACTTCATTTGAACTCAGAACTTCCTCCAATAATGGAACGTAGAATGGATACCGCAATATAATATGATTATGTGCTGAAACTTTAAACAAGATATTTAATTTAAACTACCTATTAATAGAAAAAAGAAGTAAAAAGACTATTTAGTCTTTTATAATAGAAAAAAATGATGGGCAATAATGTAGTTTTACAAAACCAAATTTTGGTGTTTTTTAATTGAAATCTCACCTATATGTAATTATTAAAAAATAAAAAACAAAAAACAAAAACCAGTCTCACCACTGGCACATTCCCTACACCCTCTCTCTCTCTCCCCTTCCCATTTTAAAACAAAAATAAAAAAATACTCACATACAAAGCGTGTAACATATGCTAGGATTGATTAACGAAGCTGTTGTTGATGCTCCAAAAATAGTCGTACTGCAGTCCTCAATGAAATAAATGAGAGCGTGAAATTCGTAATGATTTTTCTAGTGCCAATATGATTCCATAGACATTTTCAGTCGAAAGTCCAAACAATTAGAATCTCATCGGCATGGTCGAATTTCTAATACAAGGATAAAATATAATGCTTAACCCGGTTTTAAATAGAACACTCTGTCAATCTAACAAGAAGTCTGCAGTAACAATTACGAGTCACTTAACTTCAGAGACCAATCCTTTGGAATGTTCATGTTCATAATATGTAAACACAGTTTTAGCCTCCCCTAAACTCCTCACAAAATCGCCAGGACAATCTCGAATCTAGTACATCATAGCACAAAGGAGAGTTGAATTCTAAAGGAACAATAAATTAGAAACTTCTATTTCTGACCGGAATTCCCTGTATTCCACCTGCTGGTCGTAAACCAGAAGTTAAGTTAATTAGATTTTTCAGTCCACCGAGTGTGATGTGAGGCTGCAGACAACACCAGCTTCCTTATCATCTAGCAGCAACAGCATCGGTCCTAGAGTTTGATTCCAACAGCTGATGGAACTTGGCTTCAGACATGGAACTTTCATGTTTCTCGCAATCCAGTTCACCATTCCTGCTTACAGAACCCAAGTTGCTAATTATATTTTTGGCATCATTTGGCAGCTCCAAGTCTACTTCAATCTTGACTGAAGCAATCCCTCCTTGCGTCACTGCCTGAGCATTTTTCAGCTTCTCCTACAAGATAGAACACATGTGAGATCCAGCTACAAGTGAATGTAAATATAACTTAGGTTGAAACAAGCTAGGATGGACCAAATCAGTTTTCCTCGATTTTTCATGTTCAACTTAACGTTGTAGCACGTGCTACAATGCATTGGAACAAAACCCATCCCAACACCAAACCCTTCACTACGCTGGCAAATTTGTACTCTTGGTCAATATTTGGCAACCACAAGCAAAAAAACATGATAATTCAATGTGAAGATGGCTTAGTTTCTCTTAAGTATATGCTGGACATAAGAAATCAAAACAATCCGAACATAGTTGTCCAAGTGCCTACTGTTTTTTTGGGTAAAATATACTAGAGTTTCCCTATTGGGTAACTATTGCTGGTGCATATGCAAAGGCTTGAACTAACCTAAAGCCCACTCCTATGAACCCAGCCTTGGGCTCGGGATATGCTACCAGTTGATGAGTCAACCTCCAAACTTTTGCACAAAGAACAACCTAGAAACTTTGTTCTTTCGACAACCTATTTGTATTGTTGATCTTTAAGAATCCGCTTACCAAAAAAACAAATGAATATCACCCCTAAAAAGAAAAGAGAACGTGACAACTTGGTACACATAAAAAATAACTGAGAACAGACCAACAGCTCAAGAAATTCTACGAGAACATTGAGAAGTACCCTTAACGCAGCATTTTCAAGCCTCAGTGTCTCTGAATCCTCTTTCAATTTTTTTATTTTGGATTGAAGAGCCATTTTCTCCGCGTTTAAGGATTCACATGTCTTCACCAATTCCTCATATTCAGCCTGCTTTCTTAACCTAGATCTCCTTGCAGATTCTCTGTTAGCCTGTTTCCTTTTCTCTCGTTTCATCTGCCTTTCATCCTGAGGAAATCAACATGTGAATCAATAGTGTGAATAGCAGAACATCTAAGAGTTATCTAAGAATTCGGTGCATCCAAGATGAGTCTGGACTCAACAGTACTCAAAAGTCATGAATATAACAACGGTTCAGCAAATGACCGCCCTGCAGAGTCTTAAGATGGGCTTTGTTTCACAGCTAACTCTGGCTCACAAAATTTGAGGAAATTCCAAATCCGTAATCTTTCATCAGTCCCATGATTTCAATCAAACCAGTAACTGAGTGTTGTTCAAAACAAACAAATAGAGAAGTATCAAAGCCCGCAATTCTTTAAACCGTTATCTCACTTCAATTCAAATTGAAGTAGAAAGGCATCAGCTTGCAAACAAATAAGTAGTACCAAAATCAACAAGGTAAATATTTCCATACCAGAACAGGTGCACCAAAAGGCAACCCAGAACCAGCAGAAGGAGCAACAAAAGCTGTGCTAATTCCTATTGTCTCATATGGCGGCCTGAGAGATGCTCCAACGTAACCAACAGCAGGAGGCGCAGTACCAGAAACACTTTTGGAATTCTCATTCGTTTCCCCTTTAGTTGTAGGACTGACCTGAGTATGAACTTTCACATCATTTTCTGTCATTCAGATAATTAAGGAAACAAATCAGTCAGTATGAACTATGAAACAAATGGTAGCAAAGTCCTAACTTATCCAAGTAAAACCAAAACTGGAAAGAACCATCCCCTTTTCTATACAAAACCAACAGATGATGGAGGGCAAAAACAGGCCACGAAATTGTGCCCTCCCACATTGAACCCCAGAAACAGAAATCCTGATGGAAAAAGTCCCACATTACAATCGCGAAGTATAAATTAATGAGAGTGCTTAATCTTACCAGCAGATTGCATGCTCTCCGACCCATTGTTCCTCTGAGTGAAGTGCTCTGCCTGGTAGAAGAAATCCATTATTACTTTAACTGTTTAACTTCATGCATAGATAGCATCTAAAGAAAGGAGAATTCAAAGGAGAGGCCTGTCTCAGATTGAGCAGGCATAACAAAAAAAGCACTTGCTTTAGTGTTGCCATCATTTCCATCAGTCAAACCATCAACCTTTTGTTCCAAACTGCACATGTTCATAAGATCAAAAGTTTAGTTTGGCTAAATCTAGTGACAACATCAGAGAACTAACTGGAAGCTGCTGACTGTTCATAATCTCAATTTTGTCCCGTACAAAGGTTAGCCCCAATGTGAATGAAAAAAGAATAAAGAAAGAACCTCTTTGATGCCTCAAGGACTAGGTTCCCGTCCTTGGGACTGTCATATCCAACTGGCAATGCAGTTCCATCCGATCCCTTCAACTTCTTTGTTACATCTTGGTCCATGCTGTCCAACATTTTAGAAGGCCTTTCCTGTGCTTAAAGAAACTGTGACGGGTAGCTAACTGTCAGGTTACTCTCCACAGCTGCATTTTCACATTGGGAATGTAAAACTACACAAATATATTGTTCAATGAAAATTTAATAACCATCCTTTTTTTCTTTCATCTGCTTCCATGACATTATTTCAAAACAAATTAACAACAGGGACACACCTCTGAAGACAAAATCCAGATTTCGAATTACAACACGCTTCAGCTGAACTCAATTAACCCGATTCCAAATAACTGAACGAAAAATTCCACAATTTAACAAACAAACAAAAAACTTG